CCAGTTATACAGTTGCATAGGCGAAAAGTCATGGTTGTTCGTTCACTTCTGGACCTTGGTTTGAATCCAGAACTAGAACAGTCCACATCTGTTTAGTTTGAAACCTCAAATTTGTCCATTCCTTTCCGTACTTCCCGTTTTTTTTTTCCCCCTTGTAATTCTTCGTTGTTCTCCTATATCAATTTTGAGGCATGAAGTGGTGAACCAGTAAAATATTCCTCTCTCTGATACATAATACACAAAATGCAATAATCACTTGAATGTACTCAAGTGTTTTATGTAATCTTTTCTTTGAGCCGGTGTCAAAAGTGCATTACATGATCCAATCTTTTGTTTATACATCAGTATTGATTAACAATACTGAAATGACCGTCTTCATTTTTATAAACTCATTTACCGTTATTTATGTAGTGTAATCTCTTTATTGGCGTGATATCACATTTTAGCAATCGCCAAATCAGTTACTTTTAAAGTAGTCGGAAAAACACGTTTTTTTCAAACTTCTGTAATGGAAAACAAGTCCCTACTTCATACGGGTACCTCAAATGATAGCACAGAGGGAGTGCTTTTCAACATGACTGCAATAGTTATATTTCACTGGATGGTCTGGGGAATCCTCTCTCACGTAGTTGTTATCTTTGGAATAATCAGCAATATTATAAAATCGTCTGCTTTGTGAAGCAAGGATTCAAGGATTCTATCAATGTTAGTTTGACTGGTATGTATTGTCTTTAGCTGCTGTCTGTGCATAACTGCAATACTATGCTATAATTATTATATTGCTGAATAGAGCAGTACGTGTAATTTTGTTTGTTTGTTTGTTTGTTACTGTACATGCTATATTTCTAGATGAGACAGATTCATATAATGACGTTTACGTGTCCAGTTTTAAAAGATCTGCGATTATAGTTGTCTGAGCTACAGAGTATGTCACTGAATGTAGAATATCTGACCTCTGTTCCCTCCTTTAAAAAATCACTCTTTTTTTTGGGACTCTCTTAGAATATTGATACCCCCTGTGCAGCCAAACATATTGCACATACAATATTTACAGCCCTGGTGATATTCTTCTTCTTCTTCTTCTTCTGACTTTCTATCCCCCAATGGAGCATAAGCCCTCAACCAACTCCCGCCAAGTCGTTCTATTCTTCGCCATTGCATGGAGCTCTCCCCATGTCCTTCCCATCTTACTAACTTTATTCTTAAGCTCTCTTCTCTATGTGTTTTGTGGATTTCCTTTATTCCTATGCCGCTGTGGGTTCCAATGCAAAGACATTCTAGTTACTGGTGATATGATGTAGCTCTAATGGTCAAATGCAGTACCATATGATCAAAGATGTGCAGCAAATTTTAACAGTTAAATAAAATGTCTTAAAAAAACTGCTACGAGCAGAGTTTTTAAGAAACCATGTTTTAAATGTATTTTGATATCTTCTAGGGTTCAGTTTTCTACTGTGATTTTACCTGGGGTCGATACCTGGCGGGTCCCTCTGGAGAGGCACATGGAGGTTTCAAGAGAGTGTCATGCAGTTTTGAAATTAAGTACATTTGTACTTGTAATAACCACAGTTATTTTCCAAGTTTAATTAAAAACTACACATTTTTTGAAGCTATAAAACAAAAAGGTAGTGCCATTGTATTTCAATGCGCGGACTGTGGAAAAATAACTTAAAATAGAATTATTATCATAAAATGCGCACTTAATTATAGATTAAAAACAGATTCTGACGAAAACTATCTCTGTACTATTTCGCCTCACTGCTGATAATACAAGCACATGAACTGACCATTCTAATAGTAGAAGACAAGGAAGTGCACACGGTTTGAGATCCCTTGTAAAACCTTGTTTTTTGGGTTCTTAATTTATAACGTACCCCAAACACGAAATCCCTGTGGGAAATCCACAGCTGGCCTGACAGTCCATTATTTCAAGGGGTGCAAGTGTGCTGTTGTTTGGTGTTTGTTTTGAGTATTCATCTAGTGTCTTCTAACCCTAACCCTAACCCTAACCCTAAAATTTGCTGTAGAGAAATCGCGAGAAACTACAACCTGAACACCCTAGAATTTATTGGGAATGTCTCCCGTGACGTTGTAGTGACGTCAGGGGTAAGTTATAAATTAAGCACCGTTTTTTGTTAGCTACAAATATAGTCCCAGGGATAAGTCATGAAACAAATTAATATAAATATCTGATAGTACTGTAAAACTTAGGATAGATGACCTTCACGATTTCATTAAAAAAAAAATTATTGAATGATAAAAATGTCACTTTTTTAGTCCTGTTTAATGAAACCAATGATTTAGCCAAGTGCTGCAAGTTCATAGTATTTTGTCGATATGTGGTTTAAGATAATATAAAAAAGGCATGTTTTCAAATGTTTACAAACAAAATGAACTGTCTACTATGTATTTTTTACCGTTCATAATATGTTTTCGTGGCGTGGTGACATCTATCACAGACGTGAGAGACAGTTAAGGCCGTTGGGATGTGTATAAGTAAAAAGAAACTCCACAGGGGAGCATGTACAGCAGGAGTCTACCAATCATCAGTAGAAGTAATCTCTAGTCGACAAATGTTTCGGCCCACCAGCTCCTAGACATTTTCAGAGAGTGGGCCCACCTGAGTTCATGAGGCTCAGGGTTAGTTTCTCCTGCTGCACGTATTACCGGATACGTACCACACCTCGAACACCACCGCCTCTGGGATGGTTTTACGAATCCTCACGCAAGTCTCCGGCCGCATGTCCACGTCGTGTGCCACAGATATGGGCTCACCTTTGTGACCATAATCGAGTTGGCAAGGGATCTCAGAGTTGGTATGGCTCACAGCAGCCCTGAAAACATCTTCTAAAGCACACTTAGAACTTGGGTAATACCCGCTAGTCGAACATACTATTAACTGTTGAGTTGAAAGAACAACTGTACTTCTGAGATTCAACCCTATAACAAGAGATTTGCTCGCATCCTAGACTAGCAACACATCGGGAAAGCACAGTGTAATTCACATAAAAATTTTGACAACCACATTTTTGCCGCAGTATATGAAGGATGTACATAAAAAGCTATATGAATAGTGAACTTTGTTAAATCAAGCTATTTGCGATGAGCTTCAGGCCACACATATTGACTTACTTCTTCATACCGATGTCAGCTGACTATCAAAGGAACAAGCACTTGCCCAAATGAATGAGCTGGAGTCTAAGGTCGAAGTTTGTTGCCATTTGATCCTCATGTCTTTGTGAATCCCGACTTTTCGCTTTAACAGTTGTGAAAACAAAACTGCATTGTCAACTTGATGTAGAGAGTGATCTCATTTGTGCCTTGTCCAACACCAGATACAAAAATAATGAACAGACTTCATCAAGACAAAACTGTGGTAGCGATCACATTTATAACTGAACACTAAATAAGTAGTTGTTGGTGATTGTTTTTTTTTTAAATTAAATATTTGTCACTTTGAATGTCTTCTTCTATCCCCCAATGGAGCATAGGCCCTTAAACAACTCACGCCAAGTCGTTCTATCCTTCGCCATTGCATGGAGCTCTCTCATGTTCCCCCCCCCCCCATCTTTCTAACTTCATTCTCCAGCTCTCTTCTCTAAGTGTTTTTGGCCTTCCTTTATTCCTTTGCCCCTGTGGGTTCCAATGCAAAGAAATTCTAGTTATGCTGTTCTCCTGTTTTCTCAGTGTGTGTCCTATTCAACGCCAGCGTCTTTTCCTCACTCTTAGTCCACTGGAGCCTATTTAGTTCTCTCCCAAAGTTCTACATCAGTTATTCTATCATACCATATAATTCTGTCTATTCTGCACAGGCACCAGTTAATGAATGTCTGTTATTGTTTAGTAATTGTCTTAGTTGTTCTCCATGTTTCCACCTCATACAATAGTACTAATTTGACATTAGTTCTTATTTACTGCCCCTAAGGTTGTTCTGTGTGTTTTCCTACTTTTAATCACATACTTTTTAATATGAGGCAAATGAAATGTGCCTCTTGTGAAAGTCTTGCCATAACCTATAGGGGTCGCTATATGGAACAGACTGAAGACCACTGTTTTAAAAAGGGGTCGCTATATGGAACAGACTGTAGACTACTGTTTTAAAAAGGGGTCGCTATATGGAATAGACTGTAGACTACTGTTTTAAAAAGGGTCACTATATGGAATAGACTGAAGACCACGGTTTTTAAAAAGGTCGCTATATGGAATAGACTGAAGACCACGGTTTTTAAAAAGGTCACTATATAGAATAGACTGAAGACCACTGTTTTAAAAAGGGTCACTATATGGAATAGACTGAAGACCACGGTTTTTAAAAAGGGTCGCTATATGGAATAGACTGTAGACCACTGTTTTATAAAAGGTCGCTATATGGAATAGACTGTAGACCACTGTTTTAAAAAAGGTCGCTATATGGAATAGACTGTAGACCACTGTTTTAAAAAAGGTCGCTATATGAAATAGACTGTAGACCACTGTTTTAAAAAAAGGTCGCTATATGGAATAGACTGTAGACCACTGTTTTAAAAAGGGTCGCTATATGGAATAGACTGAAGACCACTGTTTTAAAAAAGGTCACTATATGGAATAGACTGTAGACCACTGTTTTAAAAAAGGTCGCTATATGGAATAGACTGTAGACCACTGTTTTAAAAAAGGTCGCTATATGGAATAGACTGTAGACCACTGTTTTAAAAAGGGTCGCTATATGGAATAGACTGAAGACCACTGTTTTAAAAAGGGTCGCTCTATGGAATAGACTGAAGACCACTGTTTGAAAAAAGGTCGCTAAATGGAATAGACTGAAGACGACTGTTTTAAAAAAGACGCTATATGGAATAGACTGAAAACGACTGTTCTAATAAGGTCCCTATATGGAACAGACTGAAGACCACTGTTTCAACAGTCTGTTAAAAGAGTAAGATATATTTATTTTAACTGTCGTTTGCGCGTGCACGTTTATGTATTTAACTATGTCAATGATACTATATTTCTCCTTTCAGCTTTGGCCATATCTGACCTCGGATGTTTACTACCCTCAGTCTGGACAAACCTCTGCTATACCCCAGCGTTTGCAGATCTGGAACTGTCATTTGAGCCTAGTGAGATTCAATACATGACCAGTGGGGCAACACATCTTGCACTAACCCAGGTCAGTAGCTGGATTACTGCGGCCATCACTCTAGAGAGATGCTTGTGTGTAGCGATGCCTTTGAAGGTATGTAGTCTTTTGCAAAAACATGATATTTTGGAATTTGTATTTACCTTTGATTCATTTAACCATCTAATTAGGACGTCTATTGTTTTTACTGAAAACTATTAGCAAACATTTATTGTTAACATGTCGTCAATACACCTTTTTAAGGTCAACACACGCTGCCTCTAGTTTCGCTGTGAATAATTTGTGTTTTATTGCATTAATAGTTTTAACATATTCAGTAGTTAAGTATCAAATTCTTAGGTCATGATTTAAAATATCTTCAGCCTGGTAATAAAGTAGTTACACAATTTATTGTTTGGTTTAAAGGTAGCGTAAAAAGCCCGTTTTGTTTCTCCAGTGCTGCAACAAGCTTGTGAAAAATCAAGTTAGGATAGAACATTCAGAACAAAACGACAGCTGCCGCAAATTAGTTAGTTAGTTATTCCTCTTGTGCCAAAGATGGCGCATAGGGCAGAGGTCATAGCTTTCCACGTCTGTCGGTTCTTTGCCACTTGATGTAGGTCTTGAGTGCGACTGAGACCTATGGTTGAGCTCTCCCTTGTGATGGTTCTACGGAGAGTTTCTTTTGGTCTTCCCTGTTTTCTTTTACCCTCTGGTGACCATATGAAGGCTTGGTGGGGAAGTCTCTGTATGTCCATTCTGAGTACGTGACCGATGTAATTCCAGCGACGCTTTCTAATAAAATCAGACACATATTTTTGTTTTGTTTCCTGTCTTATAGATGTATTGGACCTAAAGTCCGACCAGTGAACATTCAATAGCTTTCGGAGGCATCTATTCTCGAAATTGACTAGTTTCTTATCGATTGATACTGATGATTTCCAACTCTCACAACCATAAGTTAGCACTGGGATCACACAGGAATTGAAGACCTTAAGTTTCGTGTTGTTGCTGAGTGATCTTGACTCTGCCGCAAATACGCTCTAGTAATCTACGTGTTAAGTTTTACAAAAGTTTGCGAAATCTGACTTCGCGAGTATTCGTAATCAAACCTTGTAATCGATAGCCTTACGTCTATTCCTAATTGGTTGGGTTTCTTTATCTTTTTTCTTTTCTTTGCGTTCACTGGCTGTAACCTCTGGTAGGAAGTTCAAGTTAAAAAAGTTTTATTGTCAATGTTCTAACTGGTGAAGGGCTCTGTGGCTAAGTCAATGCGAACGCTTCGTAATGCCGGGTTCGATCCTGTCACATATCACTCCTGTCGCGTGCCTGATTTAAGGATTCCTCCTTAAGAACCAACAGCACTCTGAAATAATTATGTTGAGTCGTTGGCTCGTATTGGTCTAAGGGATGCCCCGTGGCCAATATACGCTCAACCTATTTCAGGAGTAGGGCAACTCAAGTTTTAGCACTACAATATATATATATATATATATTCCTAGGCACACTTGGCTGGACACCCCCACTACTATAAAAAGATAGCTCCAGGTTATGATAGTTTACTATCATAACCATGTTAACACAGATAACACTTATTATTCAAACAAACATCAAAGCTAGCCAGTTAGAATGGTGAAATAGGGACACCCAAGTCAGCCATGAAAATTTATGCATGTAATCAATACAATATATACATAAAATAGTGAATAGGTAAACCAGATCTCAGTGGATGAGTTCATCACTGGAATCACGAGGAGCTGTTTGAAGAGAGCATGATGGTAATTCATAGATTACTTTTCCCAGTTCGTAGGTCGATGCTCCCCTCAGTCCATGGTGATTCGACTGTAGTTGACTCAGGTATCTATGTCTCTAGTTGATCTGGTACCAAACGATTACCTCACCATCGAAGACACAGGAACTGCATAGGGACTCAACAAGTCTCTCTCACAGGTCAAGTCACAAAACTGCCTCAGAGCTTAACCAAGCTCTTGAAGACTGGTTCACTCGATTAATGACACAAATGTCGGCAAATGTCCACTTATCTTGGAGCTCACAAACACGCTCTTGCCATGTTGAGGTAGTGGCAAAAAAGGCAGGACTTCTGGTTATGCTTGGTGAATAGAATGGTATAGGTTGGTGGTTGTTGGCTGGACTGTGATTGGTCTGCCTGATCTCTACAGAGGTCTCATCCTGTCAGGAAAGAACTCAGAATTAGTAATCACTAAGGAGGTATCATCCTGTCAGGAAAGAACTCAGAATTAGTAATCAGCCTTATCACACATCAGCTCACCCCACATCTGCTCCTCTTCTCCATTCCTCAGAGTGTACTCTCAAGACCAGGAGACAATGTCTCCCCTAATTTATCTGTCTGTAAACCAGTGCAACAGATAGAAAACCAGATTTATATAGTGGAGATAGATAGACACTACCACACATAGATAATCCTCTCTCCACCCTCACATCTGCACTCGCAGACATACCGTGTTTACAGTTAGTATCTATATATATCCCGTCTCCACAGGCCATTCGCTACACACCTACTGAATCTTTGTCAAACACACTCGACGCAGAGCGCTTAGCCCTGACTGCCGGTTAACGATGATCTAAATTCCCTGTTCCAGTTATGCGACACAAAACTTCGTTTGACTGGTCAGAGAATAAGTACTTGTAGGGTTTAATATCTTTACAAATGGTGTGGGTTATGTAGAGCACCAACTAATTAGTCTGTACAGGGAAAGGTCTAAGGTTCGGATCCTGATCTCTGGACATCAAGAACGGTCGAACTCTGTTCGATCACACAACTGACCCTGCCCTCTCTACAGCAGTGGTCAACTTTAAAAAGATATCAATTATGGTACTCGTAAACTATAATCAACTTACCCAAGTTTAGGAAATCTTCCAAGTTAGAACTGGAACTATGAATGCGCCAAATCCTGCAAAGACTGGATATACGTCGTGACACTTTGGGATCAGGCGAAAGAATGCCTTTTTCAAAATCAAACCAGGGTCTCTAGGAAAGAAGTTCCTTGTATTCATGACAAAGGAGTAAACCGGTTGACAGGAATTTCTAAATAAAATACCATAATTTGCCAACCTACAGTTGAAAGTTTAAAAATGAAGATATATCAAAGCAACTAGAGGGTCTAGAACTGAATATTTTACCAGATAAAAGTATAGATCAATATAAGGGACTATATACCTTTTCAGACGGGTCTAAGTTTGAAATTTTGTTAAGCGCGAGAGATATCAAGTCCCGACTCGTCCACTGTGTGTGGTGGCTGCTCATCTCACGACAGATCTCAGCTGTGGGCCATGCGCCTTGCGTTGGTTTTGACAGTGGTATCAAGAAAGCCGACTGTCCAGAAGCAATGGCAAACTACTGGAGGTAAATTTGCTAAAAAAAAACACACACAATAGCCAGGGGCAGTTGGGGTTGGTTCTGCAACGTCCTGTAAAGGATACGCAACTAACCTTTAACTAACTGGTGAACATACGACGAGATAAATTGTACCTGAGGAGTTAGCAATGTGTTGTTAATCAGATACATTTACGAGAAGCCTTATTAGCTCAGTAAATAGCACCTTTACCTCACAAACAGTTGGTTACTTTTTTTAATGTATATCCCTGTAGATTGTTAAAACGCAGCGGGATTACGAAGTGAGTCCCGTCTATGCTAGAATATACACAGGAAAGCCATGGTGTCAAGTAAAGCCTACGTAGTGTTGACTGTTGACTAAATATATGAATCATGATATGTCCAGTCACCTTCAAGGAGGGAACGGTGTTTATACCGACAATGTACACATCTACATAACAATTATTTTCGGTCTTTCCGCCATTATTTACCAGATCCAGGCATAACCATAGATAACTCCAGGCAGACGGATCTAAAGTAATTACAGGTTCTCAGTAACTAAGTTGAAAATTAAGTAACTGTCATTGACTGCGAATAATGTTTTCATTTATTCTTTTTTTAGGTCAAGGAGATTATAACGCCAAAACGAACATTCATCGTTATGGGAAGCATATCAATTGTCCTCTTCGCTGCAGTGGCTCCACAATACTACTTCTACAGAGCTGGCAAAAAGTTCTATGCGGACCGGAACAGGACACTTTTCGGTATTATTTTCTCAAAAGAGGTATTGGACTTCGAGGCAATTTCATTTCCAATTAATTTTGTAATTATTCCGTACCTTGCTTTTCTTATCATAATCGTCTGTACCGCGATACTGGTGATTGAACTAAAAATAACAAACAAATGGAGGGAGAAATCTGCGACTTTTGCGAATATTACCAAGTTGTCAAGTTCAAAAAAGAAGGTTTCTAAAATGGTGGTGATGATTTCTATTCTTTTTATCGGCAGCTACACAATGACTGTCGCTATTGCTATTGTAATCACCGTTGTTCCTGGATTCAGTGTAGCCGGAAAATATAGACAACTCATACCTGTAGTAGGTGGCGTAGGGTATCTCTTTGAGATAATTAACGCTTCCATGAATATCTTTATTTACTATCAGATGAGTATGAAATACAGGATTGTGTTTAATGAATTTATGTGTCTCAGACACCTATCGGACTGTCCAGTGTATTCTAATCATTCGTCAATAAAACATATCTCGGCAGCTTCCCAAAACAGTTTTCGCTAATTGATTAACGATGATTCGCTTCCGTACTTACTTATATAATCTATACAGCTTTTAAAAATTATCTTTCTCGTCTTAACTGACAAAGAAAGATTGCCTAAAATATTCTTCCTTGCATTAAAAAAAATGCCTCTGCTTGAGCTATTCGACATTTGACTCAACACATCTTCCATCTGATGTTATGAGGATATCCAAGTACTTGATCATATCAACTAGCTTGATGTGTGTCCGATTTATTTTGCTATTTCATTCTAGAGGGTCAGTTTTCTTTGTAATTACCATTACTTCCGTTTTTCTGTTGGTCAAATCAAGACCATTGTTCCACTTTCCGTTACATTTATATCCATAATTTTTTGCAGTTTCGTGTCATTTTCACCGATCAAAACAGTCTCGATACCAATTGCTAGTTGTTAACAATATGCCCACCAACCGATATTCCTGGCATATTAGGTATGTATCTATTTTTAATTTTTT